GCATGGATTGAACCATTTGCAAGTGAATAGACGTTCGCTTTTGATTCCAGAAATACAGCCACCTGCAGTGGCTCAGGCTGGAAGCCAGAGGGAGGGCAGGGGTGCTAGAGTGAGCTCTTGGCTGCAGAGAAGCTGTGCTAAAGGCAGGGCATTGCCAGGCCCCAGCGGGCTGAGTATGGGGAGGGGTTTAAACCTCCACGCTGGCCTGCAAGGACCCCAGCCGGGGTGCGCCTGGAGGCGGAAGGGAGAAACAGCCCTGCCAGGTGTTTTTCACCCCCACCCTTGCTGCTGGAGTGGCAGGGGGCATGGTCAGCCTGGTAGTAGCCTCAAGCAAATGTGGGAGGGAGAGGGTTTAATTCCCCCCTCCCTGCCCTGTCCCACTGGCACAGACACAAGCCAGGGTCTGCCTGGCCAGGAAGGAGCAGCCTATGTCAGGGTCTGCTCCGCCTCTTTGCTGCTGCAGTGGCAGGGGCAGGGGCATGGCCAGATTTCGTCCCAGCATGTCCCTCTGAGGTGAATGGGGCAGGCATAGGGTTTATTCCCCACTCTGTCCTCTCTCACCCCAGGGGACCACAGCCAGGATCTGCCAGCCCCAGCCTCTGCTGCTCCCCCCTGGCCAGGCAGACCCCACTACCAGGAAGAGGCTTGCCAGCAGCAGGCTGGGCTGAGGCTGCACTTGGGGCGGGCAGATGCTGGGTGTGGGAGCTACGGGGTGGGCTACAGCCACTCCAAAATTCCCCATAGCCCACACTGTAGCTTCCCCTTCCAGCACTGCTGCTGCCCACCCTGGCCCAGTCCCCCAACCCGGAAGAGGCCAGTGCAGCCCATGCACAGATCCTGGGGGCACATCTCTCCATGCCTTCCCTGGAGGTGTGCGCAGCCCCATCCCTTGGCTCTGTCCCATACCCTGCCCCACCCCAGCTGGGCAGTGCCTTCCCCTGCCCCAACCTCACTCCCTCTCTCACTATGGGGGCTTCACTCTGCACCCCCCATGCCCCTTCTCTCCCCTAAACCCCTTCCCCCCACAGACTTACCAGCCGGATGCTGCTTTTTAAGCTGCCGGGCTACATTTTTGGCTGCATGCGTGCTGCAGCTGCATGCATGCACATGGTATTTATCAATGACAGTGTCAGCTATGCTGGCCAAAAAAAGCTGTTTCCCGATAATGCCAAGTTTCCTTTTATTGGTGCCAGTCTGATATGGACTGATATATTGATGCAGCTCTAATTGGGGTTGTACAAACTCATTGGGAATGTGCATTTGGACAATGCATCTGGAAGAACTCCAGTTACTTGTAAGTAACTTCTTTCTTCCATTCCTTGAAGCTGATTTTTACAACTCTTCTTGTGCCTACCTAAATGGAACATGCTATGCTACCCTTCCACCTATAACACCAAATTCCTTTTCTAGCAAGTCACCTTTAATGCAGGTGTTGTAACTTGGGATACTGTCACACAGGATCTACCTTTTACATGCTAGATGTTGTTCAGGTTGGTGTGTTAAGCTCCATTTTTCTCTATTGCTTGGTGCTTTGAAAGGGCTTGGCCATTTCTTGTGATGTCTAAGGTTGAGGACAAGTCAAAGAACTGCAGACCTCATAGCAGAGGTGTAAGATTCTCTTTCTGATCCAGGGGGCAGGAATAGCACTGATCACTGGAGGGAGTGAGGAGAGGGAATAGTGTGTTACCTCCTGGAGCTCTCAGGTGAGCGCCAGCTGCTGTTGCTGCTGGTTGTCTCCTAGTGTCATTAGCTTGGGCTGCTACTACCTATTTGCAAGTGGGTGCCAATTTGTAAATGGGTAGGTTGGGCAGAAGCATCTCCTGATGCCCCATTTACCCCTTATCCCCGGAGGAGGGCTGCACCTCCCATGGAAAAGCTTCTTGGGGTGGGAAGCCACCCTTCTCCCACTCCAGATGCCCTGGTAGGCATGGTACTGCCCCTGCCCAGCTGTACCTGCTTGACTGCACCTGCTTTGGGAATGACTTCTGGGTGAAGGGGCCAAACCAATTCCCTCTCTTATTTGGCACCTGGGACTAGTGCCCCTCTCATCCCACTTCAGTTATTCTAGTGCCTTGAAGACTGCCAATAGTCCACGAATTGACACGATCCAGACTAGGCGCTGCATGTGTTGGAAGGGGAGCGTTTGATCAAATATGTTGTGAAGTTGCATGCTTTTACTAGGAATAGAGGGACATGTAACTGTACAGGTGATTATAAACTGGAACAGGTAACCTAAGGAGATTGCTTATCATCAGGGATTCTGGTTTTCTCTGTTTAAAAATAGCAAATTCTCTGATTTAAAACCCCCATAATCCACATTTTTCCAGGATTAAAATGAAATGCCACTACATATATAGAGGTATCAGTTGAAGACAATGTTTTATTGATATTTACAATTTTAAAGAAATTTGGAAGCCTACCAGTGCCTCAGTCATTATAATAAAATAAATTTTAAATGCATATACATTTTGGTGTTTGCTTTTGGGGGTTATATCATGGAAAATCAGAACTGTCCCTGCCCCCTTGTCTCATCAAGATGTGGGTCCAGCTGTGGCTCTCCCTCCTCCACTGCTTTGTGGCACTGAACAGCCCTGATATGCCGGTGCCCTGTCCAGGCCATTGCCCCTCACTCCTTATCCACAGCCCTCT